GCAGAGGAGGCCTTGTCATTACCCTGGAAACTGACACCAGCAGCCCACAGGAGGGCTTGCATCAAGAGGTTTTTTTTTTTTTTAAAAAAAAAAGAGAAAACTTCTGCTCAATTTGCTGAGTTTTATATTCCTTTTACTTCCCATATATTTGTACCAAGGGCAAATCTAAGAGTTTCTTTAGTGTAGAAGAAAAACAAAAATCACAGTAATAAATCCTAATTCTTGAGTCCCACATCAACAACAGCAAAAATCCTAGCAGAATCCTACAATAAAATGCAACTTAAAAACACAGGAAAATAGTGAATTTATGATACTCTGACTTTTGAAAAAATGTCTTAATCTTATATTTCAACCAGTATTCGACATACTGCTTGAGTTTGCTAAAGCCCCTCTAACTTGATTTCATGGGAAAACGTGTAACCCCAAGGACTTGGAAGGAGCCTTCCACTTTGGTCATCTATCATGCACATCACTGACACACTACCCCTCCAAAGAGCACATCTCTAGAAAATGTGACTCAGTGACTCCCCATTACAAGGGATTCAGGGCTCTTAATAATTTTGCCCCAATCTATCTTACCTCCAACTAGGTAGGACACAGAATGAGCACTATGGACAGAAAAATAAAAATTTAGAAAGAAAGATTCTGCATTTTATACTATGAAAGTCCACAATCTACCTGGAGATTGTTTTTGTATATTAGGCAGGGATTCAATACTACTGTTTTCCATATGAACAATCATTATCAACTTCTTCCTTTTCTTCTCTCTCTCTTTTTTTTTTTTGGGGGGGTGCTAGGGATTGAACCTAAGGCCTCATGCATTCAAGGTAAGAGGCCCACCACTTAGCTGAACTCCAGCTCATTCCAGCTTTCTTTATTTAATGGCTCCTCCTTTGCCCATGGCCTCTTGCATCACCCACATTAGACAACAATGCTGCAAATAGGTGCTTCTGTTTCTGGGCTCAGTTTTTCACACCTTGATTATTCTCTTGATTCCTACTAATTCTATACCATATAACCACTTTAGCAGTTTAAAAAAGTCCTGGTTTCTTATAGGGCAAGTCTTCCTCCTTGCTTTTTTTTCTCCAGAATTATCTACACTATTCTTTGTCTTTTATTTTTCTACTAATTGTATGAATATCCACGAAAAATCATATTGACATTTTTCTTGGAATTGGATTGTATGGTGGAGTTTTAGGGAAAACTGCCCATATCCATAATATTAATTCTTTCTCTATATCAGGGATTGGTAAATTATGAACTTTCATCTGTTTTTTTTTTTAAATAAAGTTTTATTTGCACAAAGCCTAAACTATTTATTTATATCTTTACAGTTGCTTTTGGGATACAATGGCTGGGTTGAGTAGCGGAAATTGAGACTGTGTGGATCCAAAAGCCCAGAGTATTTAGTATGCTGACCCCTGCTCTATATGAATTTAGTACATTTCATAAAATTAGGTGTTTTTACATTTCTCCTTATAAAGTTTTGTAATTTTCCCTATACTTCACATCAAATTCATTATTTGATCCTTGGATACTCTTTGATACTACTGTAAATATTAATAAGTAAATTCTCTGTTTCTGGTTAGCATACAGAAAAAAATACAGTAGTTTTATGTATCATTCTATTATTTATCCATCTTGCTAAAGTCTTATTATTTGAAATGACATAGATTTTTTTAGTGTAGGCACCACATTATCTGCCAATAATGACAGCTTTATTTCCTTCTTTCCATTCTGCTTCTACTTTTCTTGATTGCCTCACAGCACTGATTAGAACTCCTAGCACAATGTTGAACAGTGTTAAATGTCTGTCTCATCTTAAAGGAACAGTTTCAATGTTCATCTATACAGGATCACATTTGCTTTAGGTTATTTTTCATCAGGTTAAGGAATTTCTCCTAACATACTGAGACTTTTAAACATAAATAAATATGAGTATTGACTCTAATCATTATTTTCTTGCATCCATTGAGTTTATCAAATAGTTTTTTTTCCTTATTCTATTTAAGTAGTCAATTATATTAATAGAGTTTTCTAATATTAAAAAAATCTTCCTACAGTTCAAACATGGTCAAAATGTACTTTTTAAAATATATATATTTTTAATATCTTTATTTATTTTTATATGGTGCTGAGGATCAAACTGAGTGCCTCACACGTGCAAGGCAAGAACTCTACCACTGAGCACTAACTCCAGCCCTCAAAATGTACTTTGAAAAAATATACTGTTGGATTATATTCACTAATATTTTAGTTAGGATTTTTATATCTACATTCATAAATGAAACTGGCTATTGGTTTTCCTTTTTGATAATATCTTTGTTTACTTTTAGAATCAGGGATGTTGGCCACACAGAAATGTGTGTTCTCTCTTTTTCAAGCTTTTAAAACTGAGATATCTGCCACCCTGCCCCAGCACTAGGGGTTAAACCCAGTGGTACTCTACCACTGAGCTACATTCCCAGCCATTTTTGAGACAGAATCTAAGTTGCCAAGGCTGGCCTTAAACTTTCAATCCTCCTGCCTCAGCCTTCCAGGTAGCTGGGATTACAGATGGGATTACAAATTACTTAATTGAGATAATTTGTTCTTTGTAAAGTTTCAGGGACATGTCTATGAAATGTAGACCTCATGTTTTCTTTGTGGATAGATATTAATCACTGCTGCAAATTCTTTGAGCTACATGATTTTAACCTTTTTCTGCCTTCTTTCATCAGTTCTTGTATATTTTCCTAGATATTTGTCTAAACTATGGGTACATATGTTGATTACATTCCATTATCTTTTAAATCTCAAATGATTCATAGTTCTGTTCCTCTTTTCTTTTTTTAATTTATTTTTTATAGTTGTAGAGGGACAACATGCCTTCATTTGTTTAGTTTTTTATGCGGTGCTAAGAATCGAATCCAGTGCCTCACACACGCTAGGCAAGCACTCTGTCACATCCCCAGCCCTCCTCTTTATTTTTATAATACCCTTTGCTGGGCTGGGGATGTGGCTCAAGCGGTAGTGTGCTCGCCTGGCATGCATGCAGCCTGGGTTTGATCCTCAGCACCACATACAAACAAAGATGTTGTGTCCGCCGGAAACTGAAAAATAAATATTAAAATTCTCTCTCTCTCTCTCTTTAAAAAAAATATCCTTTGCTTTTATCTTCTCTTTCTCAATCTTGCCAGAGATTTATCTATTTTTTTTCAAAGAGCTCTAACTTTTTGCTTTATTGAGCTTTTCTCTACACAATGGAGATTAGTTAGCAATCAAAAAAAAAAAAATAAACTGCAATAACAAGTAATCTGTGGAAGAATCTTAGCATGATGTTATTAAGTGAAAAAGTAAGTCCCAAGGTTTTTATAATGACTGATATCTAAGGATCAAGAATTTCATATCATAACAAATCAGAAACAAACAAGCAACAAAACTCCCAAAGAGTCTAAGTTCTGTTTATATGTGTAGTAGCAAAATTCCAAATCCATTTTGAATGTCTTTGACCCTAGAGGTTCAAAAGACTATGCGATTTCTCTGTGATATCAAAGTTGGTCAGAGTCAATCAAGAATTTGAAGTTATTGCTGGTGCTGAATTAAAAGACCTGGGAGGGTAAAATCCTGGCTATTATTACTGAGGTACAAACATGAGAGTGGGTCACTTTAACTTTTAACTCAGTCATCCATTTGGTAAAGTGAAAGCTACTGTGGCACTTGCTCTCCTGTCAGGTATTTAGCTAGAGCTTTATTAGCACATCCCCAGCCTGGTGGGCCTCACTGGCTTCAAGGGATGAAGTTCTACTATCTGCTCTCAAACCCAGTTTAGGTGCTTCTTCCTCTATGAAACCTCTCTTGGACCCTAGAAAGAGATCTTTCTTGTGGACCCTGGACGTCTCCTTTGTCACCAGTGTCTAATTGTCCTGTATAATATTCATGGCCATGTCAAACAAAAGGCCTACAATTCAACTCTAGGCAGGACAAACCATTTCCTGAGGTCTTATTATGTATGAAGGTTTCTCCCTTCATACAATACATTTTGTTGCTTACACTTTCTTTAAAAATTATTGGTATCAGTTTGATTCTTGAAATTCATTCATTAAGTTTCTGAGTTCCATTTAGAATTAGTAGCACTAATCAGCTAAACAATTTAAACATTTCCTATAGTACCACAACTACGAGATTAAAAAACGACTTTGGGCCCAAAAGAAAAAATTATATCATGGACAGTACTTTTTATTAATTCAAGGAAGTGTATTTCAGATTCCTACCCAAAGGGGATAGAAGAAAATAATGTTTTTGCATTCTTAATATTTTAGCTACATGAAAAATTCTATTTGCAGATTATGTATAGATGTGAATGAATACACCCTGCTCTGTCAAAATATAAATTCTAATAAATTCTAATAATGAGAAAACAAATCAATATCATAATCATGCAAATCCTTAAAAATTTCAGTAATATTTATGTGGCAGAATGACAAAAACAGTCCTTTTAAGACATTCTACTTTTTAATCAGTGATTCTACCTTATTTTGCATAGATTTTGTAGGGTGAAAGGCAAAGAAGAATGCAAGTGAAATGTAATTTCTTTTGAATATAGGAAAGAATGGAAATTAGAAGCATTAAAATTAGCAATGTATTACAACAATGTGGTTAATGAATCTTAAATAGCTATTCATTATCATCTGTTGATACAGAGAAAATGTTGATAAGAAATTCCCCTGTTGTCATCCTCCCTTCCTATCAGGTGACTAGTGGCTACCCAAGCTGCAAATACATGGAGAGGAAGGGGGCCTCTTATCTGCAGCTTTTGGGGTGGCAATACTACTATTTTAGCAATATTCTGTACAGAAAACATCCTATAACAGTAGGGAAAGATATGTTTCATTCATAGCAAAAGAATCTGAAGACTCTGAGCCAAATGGAGGTATAAGTTGGGAGCCTCCTACCCAGACTTTAACAAGAATGAACCTGTGTTGGCCCCTTTGTGGGATGAGTGACACTTGGATTTGTACCTGCTTCTCAGCTTGTTTCAGGAGCTTCTGGAATCGCTCATCCTCCAGCACACCTGGTGGAAGATCAGTCTCTCCCTGAGCTTTCAGTTCTTCCAGCTTTTGCCGAAGGCCCCTCAGAGCCTGTAGCTCATCATTGAGGCGACTCTGGCGGGTAAGAGAGGCCTGAAGATCCAGTTCTAGGTCTAGAGATGTGCGTACTGGGCATTCCTGGGCTGTCCTTCTGAGGACTGGCTGGCAAACCGTCTGGAGAGTTAGAAAACACAACAATAAAACACCCTATTATATGGGTAGTCATTTTTCTGCTTGTCCTACTTCCTTGCTCCTTGGAAGTGAGAATATAACTGAATAAGCAACTTGCTTTGGCCAAAGAAAAGTGAGTGGGAGAGATGTGTACCACTTCCAGGCAGAAGTCTGTTAAAGCCAGTGTGAAATCTGCATTTTTCTGTCTCCTGCTAGAGGAATTACAAAGACCCAGAGACAGAGGCTCCATTAGCTTGGGTCTTCAGTAAGAACACAGGCAGGTCCTCCGGCCAATCTTCAAAGAACTAGTAGCTAAGAAAGAAGTAAACCTTTATTATTTTAAACCACAGAGATTTTCAAAGTTGTTATAGTGTAGCCAAGCTTACCCTGCCCCAATGGAAAAACAAATGTTAGAACAGACAGACAGTTGTTCCATTTCAGGAGGCAAAACCATCTCTGTAGTTCACTCCCTTGATATCTATCTATCACCTCTGAGTGTGGTTCAGAATGCAAGTGGTTCATGGGACTGGTTCTTTCTCTATTTTCCATATTATGCACTATCCATTCTCCCCATTGAATCACAATTGTTTTTCCCAGGGCCAATCTTACCCATTTATTTATTTTTACTTTTTTATTTTTTGACGGTGCTGGGGATTGAACCAGGGTCTTGTGCATGCAAGGCAAGCACTCTACCAACTGAGGTATATCCCCAGCCCCTTACCCATTTATTAAGGAATAATGACTGTCTATGTATGAATAAATTTCAGCTGGAGGATGGTAGGCAGGACATTAGGAAGAGATGACATAATCTCTGACTCTGAGGACTTTGAATGGAGAACAGTATGTGGCAATAAGCAATAGTAAGCTGTGAATTAGATCTTAAGTTCCACAGAAAGTCAAACAAGGGACAGATCATTCTGGGCTGGGTCAGACTCATTTGCAGAAAGAAACTTAAACTAGGCCATGTACGATGGTATAAGCAGAAATTACAAGAACAAGGAGTGCATTTCTTGCCTAGATTGCTGGCAGCAGGAATGGAACACAAGATATTCCTAATAAGAATTGGTGCTATATGATACCAGAGAGGAGGGCTTCAAACTTGACACGGGTATTCTAGTTTGAAGGTCTGGAACAATGGTGGTGCTCATAACAGATGGAATGGAAAGGGCCCATCTGCACCTCTTCTTATCTCAGGGTCTTAGTCCACATTGGGGTAACTTTGGTTGTCTCCTCCTATTCTTTCTCCTCTGTCCAACACATGTTAAATGTTCACTAAATACTGAGGTGCTAGGCTTCTGTAGTACATTAAAAAAAAAAATGTTTCCTTTATTCAACCTCTGCTCTCTCCAAAAAAATAATGGCATGGTAAGAATCACCTAGATCCATATTTGCATTGACTGTATTACTTGTTTTTCACAATCAGAAATCTTTCTTAGTTCTCATGAACATGGAATCTAAGGATTCCAGTGTGTACTGGTGTGCAGGTAAATGTTTACTAACACTCGGTTCTCTGCATGGAGAAGGAAACATTGATTTGTAGGCTTGCTGATCTCTGTGCTATAACTACTACCACAGTAACTTTTTAAGGTGTCCATGTGATGTAGAGACACGCACAGTTGGCTCCTCTGAGCTAATATGAAGAGGCTCTAACATATCACTAAATCTCTGACCTCATGACTCATATGCTTGTCACTTTTCTTTTCCAGTTGGGTAAATCTTTTGCTGGTGTTTGCAGATGCTTTGCTCTCTTACACCTCTCCATAGTTTTCATAGCGGAATTCCTAAGTCAGAACACCATTATCTACTCATTTCTCTTAAACCATATCTGCTTCCCTAAAAATCACTGTAAAAATCATCTCTTACACATGTTTTAGGATTAACCTCTGTCTGGTTCAAGCAGATCTACTAACTAAGTTTATGAGCAATCTAACTGTTTTTGAGCTCAACTCAACTCAGACACACTTTTGATAAAAATTTCTCTGAAGTGTGCTACTATACTCTAAAAACACATTCTGTTTGAGAAAGCAAAGTGACCTGCAAATGAGATGAAACAAATTTTCTTTCAAGATTATGGAAATTTAGGAACTTCCAAAGCATAATATTTGGTAGTGTAAAATATCTACACCTCAAAATTTCCTAAAAAATGTTGAATGCTAAATAAAAGTGGGCATATCAGTTTTTAGACAAAAGAAACATGTTCTTTTTTCCATTGAGTAACTAGAAAGTTGAACCAAGGGAATCAAAAGTTACTTATTCACATATCTAGTACTTTGCACATAGTGCTACGAAACCAGAGTGGCACTGATAACGATGAGGACTCTTAACTCACCATGCAAGTCCCCCAGCCCCTAATTCCAGTCCACAGCCCTGAGGCTCTGGCTGAACTCAGCTAAAACTCAACCCCTATGTTTTATGTCACTTCATGTCATCTACTGAGAGCACCTCGTATGCATCATTCTTCCATCACCCCTCACCTTACTTGCCCCATCTCTACCATTTCCTTTGAAATTTTATTTAAGCCTTGAAGCCACAGACCTGCTCCAGGAAGCCTCTTTTAGACTCTAGTGCAGAGGAGTTCATTCCCTCTTCTCCAGCACACTTCTAATGTCCCATGTGTGATTCTGCGAATTTTCTCTAAAGATGGCAAACTCACCTCTGATAGCACACACCATGCTCTGTGCTTACTAAATAGCACATTGTAAACTGAAATTATAATAGAAAGTAAACAGGAATTTTTGATCCACTTGTATAGTCCAACCCTCTAATTGACTTAAATATTCTCATCCAGAGATCGATGGCATCTAGGAAAACAACCTGAGTAGTCCCACTCAGATGAATTTTAAACTTCTAAAAAGAACTGTTTAAGCAAGTTCAAAATCATGTGATTAAACAGTAAACAAAAATAGAAACACCCCAAAAACCTGTGTGCTACTCCTATGCAGAAATGTCTGCTCCTTCAGAGGAGGTCCCAGGTTTATATTCCTCCCACAAATGCTCAAGGGATGGTATGCAGACCTGTCAGCCATCACTGGACATTTTCTCAACCCACTGATGCACTTGGGGGCCCAGCAAGCTCCTTCTCCGGAGATATTGCAAACCAATTTCCAGCCTTAATTACCAGAGGTTCCAAACCAGTGACGAAAGAATGCTTTCAAGCATATCTTCTCTGGTTCTCTAACTGACATAACACCTGCATCTCTGTGTGATCACTGTGGCTTCATTCAACAGCCTGGGAGCATGAAGCACTGACACTCAATAGTTTGGGATTCATGCTTTGTAATTCATGAATCTGGACTGGTCTAGGGCAGTGCGACATGACTGAAGGAATACATACCCTTTTGACCCGCAAACTGCACCGTTCACTGGAGTTTCTCACAAACAGTGATTTTTTAGCCAAGGTTGAACTGTCACTGTCACTCCGATTTAACTGGTGACAAAAGATTAAAAAAAAAAAAATCACTATATAACAAACAGAGTTAGTGGAAATTAGAACTGAGAAGTTTACTAAATAAAGTAGGTAGTGACAATATGACTAGCAAATTTCTTTAAGAAAACTTTCCCCAAACAGCTTCTTCCTTGTTCCATGGTTTTATTAGCTTAATTTTCTTAAATAATTTAAATAACTATCAAGTCATACGTTAAGATAATTATACATCTTTTGAAATAAAGCAATCCTTTTAGCTAACATGTGATGTTTATTTCTTTAAAGAAATATTTCTATGAAGTACAGAGCTCAAGGTCAGAGTTAAGACATATTCTAGAATGCTCCTGGCCCAAGTAGCTCATGCCAACCCACTTACCTGCTTTAGGTCTCTGCAGAATGTAACCTATCAATCAAGCCTACTCTGTACCCTGCTTCCCATAGCACCAATCCTCTGCTACCCACCCTACCACCACCCTCTACCCCTGCCCCACAAGGCACTTCTCAGCTTATACACGTATAATTATTGTTTATGGCCTAGGTCTCTTTTGCTTCTGGATAAATCTCAACTATCTAGGAAAGTGCTTAATAAAAGTATTTCTTTTTAACTTGAATGAATAAAGTTAGAATTTTAGAAGTGTTTCTAACCCATTATAAAATATTAAATCTACTTTACTATACATTATAAATACTTCTAGAAGTACAATTTGGTAAATTGATGGAAATCTCAAAATTTTCTTCACAGAGTTATACATCTGATTCAGTGTCCAGAGGCATTAGTAAGAGATGCTTTTTGTTCTAAAATCCAATTCACAGTTTTCAGTCCAGCAAGATTAACATGGGCTGAAGCAAGTATGTTATACAGTGGAAATACATAAAATATATATCTTAAAAGTCACTTATGTTTCTAAACACAGATGGAAGTCAAAAAATTCTTAGCATCTAGATCTTTAAAATTCACTTACTTGCATCACATTAGAACCAGTGAGACCTTAAATTTGTGGGAAAACTAATTTAAAAAAATCTTTTAGTATTTGTAGTCAGAATGTGCAGTTTCTTGTCATTAATGGGAAATGCACTCACTGGTAGAAGGGCAAGCCACAGTCCCTGGTGTCTCATCACACACATGGTCACCTTACCCTGCAAATGTACTGGCTTCGCTCGCCTGGAGAAAAGGTCTGTGAGCGCACTATCATGCTGCTCCTCACAAACGGATGCTGTTGAGAGCTCAGACTGCTGCGGTCTTTGGGGCGAACTGCCATACTCTCATTAACTGCGTCATCAGTATTTGTCTCTTTGTCAACCTACAAGAAAAGTAATTTGTTAGGAACTAATCAATGTGTGTACATTTATTTTCCATTGTTCTAAGAAAAAAAGAAATACCAAACGCCAAACAGATTCATGGAGCACTTGGGACACTCCTAAGAGGAACACTTCTATTACAACACAGTTCTTCTGAAGGGAAAGTAGGTACCTGGTAACTTCCAGGTTCTTAGGAAGCTACCACAGTGGGTAGGATCGGTCCAAAAAGGTTAGCCATGAATAGAAGTGCCACCTTTAACAGGTTAGAATTAAAACCTTCATGGTTTTGATTTAAAGAGATAGTATGAAGAATTCTATTTTGAAATATATCATCATTAAACATTATTTAATTTCTGATTATTTTTCAAAATAGTAATAAATACAAGAAAATGAAAATATGCCACAAAGTTATAGATTTAAATGGAAAATGCAATTAAATATATAAATATAATGACTGTTATGAAGCCAAATTTGGATTTTTTTTACTGGATCTTTGGAAATGTAACAAAAATAAAATTTAAGTTAAAATGGAACTGTCTCGAAATATAAACTTGTAGGCACAGGTAGATGTCTTTTATCTTACAGGAATAACTTGATTACAGACCTGCCTCTTAATGAAAATTGCTTCCTTGTGACAGGAAGTCCTTGGTCAGGGTACAATACTATTTTCTCAGAAATAAGGAATTCAAATGTTCTAAACTCCATTACCAATATTCGAAGTGTGCAGCAGGCATCCTTGAGCCTTAAAAAAGACTTCCCCATTTGGGGACAGTGGTCTCAACACATTTCTCACTTACCTACCAAAGCTGCCTGCTTAACTTGGTTGGCATCTATGCGTAAACCTAGTTTTCTGTCACCTTTCTAGACAGAAAGCTTTCAATAAGAACACCATCTAACTAAATGAAGTTCAAATGTTTGCTTCATGTTTGAAATAGAAATAAACTTTGAATTTGACACAATTAAGTAGTCACCCTGCTGCTATCCAAGGAATTCAGAAAATATTTCTAATAAATATTCACAGAATACTTTATAGACTGAAAGTAGTACTATTCCTCTTCTTATATCAAATTTAATGAAGAATTAATATTTTGGCCCATCTAAAAATTATAAAGCATTTACAATGTATCTTTTATATGCCTTTCATGATCAGCTTTCGGATTAAAATCTTAACATGGAATTACACCTGAAGAGATAAATAAGCATCTCCGGTGTCTACATGGTGCCTGTGAGGCATCTGTTTTAGTAGAACACAGCTGAATATTCACCAGGGTGGGTACTCCAGCGGGTGGCTGATGTCTACAGTCTTTGGCAACCTCATTTTCTTTCCTCCACTCGCCTTCATCCATCTTCGGCACATTAGTGCATGAACTTAAGTCTTTCATACAGCTATTGTGCTTTGCCAATTTAACCTCAGCTTCTTTTTCAGCCACAATTTCATCAGAGGCCTCTCTTAGCATTGTTAACCTATGGTGAAATGAAACAAAATGAAGACAAGACATACTTTAAGTCAAGTGGGTATGCTGTATAAATTGTGCAACTTAGGCACGTTAACCTGTTATTTGGGAAATGAACAACAGACTTAAACAAAATGATTCAAGCCATTGTCTGGCTGGAACTTTTAATTAAATAGTCCATAAAAAATAAAATTCTCACTCATTATTTAACAATATACTGCAAAATCTCCATAGTGTAGTACTACAAAGTTAAATTTATGAAATTTGACCTAACTTCCAGATACTAAAGTAGAAATATTCTAAAATCATACATAAATTGTAATCCCAGCATTTTAAAATGTTGACATTCAAACTGAAGCAATGTGATATTAGTTATTCATTATTATACCATTAATCATAGGAGGAAATGGGATACTTTCAGCTAAGAGAGAATAAAAACATCCATTACTGGTCTGAGGTTGTAGCTCAGTGGTGGAGCGCTTTCCAAGCACGTGTGAGGCACTGGGTTCGATTCTCAGCACCACATACAAATAAATAAAACAAAGGTCCATTAAAATTAAAAAAATATTTTTTAAAAAAATCCATTACTGACTGCTCACAGTCTAGTAGAGAAAACCCCATGTTAAGGAAGATTTACTATTAAATCAACAGAAGCCTCTTAGTGCCGTTTGTGCTCACATTTACCAAAAGCCATATCACTGACTTGGGTGGCATTACAAGGGGTACTCTACAACATGAAGTCAGTTTATACAGAATATATAAAGGAGGAGTATTGGGATGGTTTAGAACATATCATGCTTTTGTTGAGTGTCATGTTCTTAAACACTGAGCTTTAACTGCAATTGGTGACATGCTGACAAATTGGCACAAACTAGTTATTAAAGGTGTAGCCATGAAATGAACACAAGGGAGGACCAGCAATGATGGCTATGAGTTATAAATTCCTTTATTTACATACTAAGTGAATTTTTAAAAATATGTGTGATGTGAACATGAGAAAAGCTTGGTATTTAAAGATACTAAAATAAACCTTATGCTCACTCTCATATTTTTTTTTTTAAAGAGAGAGAGAGAGAGAGAGAGAATTTTTTTTTTAATATTTATTTTTTAGTTTTCGGTGGACACAACCTCTTTGTTTGTATGTGGTGCTGAGGATCGAACCCGGGCCGCACGCATGCCAGGCAAGCGCGCTACCGCTTGAGCCACATCCCCAGCCCCTCACTCTCATATTTATTTGTCCTGCAGGGCTTTGATTTTTATTCACTATTAAGGAATTTTGGTAAGCACAAAGTATCTCTACCTTTTTATATCACTGTCAAAACCCTTCCTTACAAGTGGTCTATGACTATTATTTAAAACTTATCCTGTAAGTTTCTTTTCTTCTTTTTTTTTTGATGGTTAATCTTTTTTAAATTTTTATTATTGGTTGTTCAAAACATTACAATGCTCTTGACATATCATATTTCATACATTTGATTCAAGTGGGTTATGAACTCCCATTTTTACCCCGTATACAGATTACAGAATCACATTGGTTACACATCCACTGTTTTACATATTACCATACTAGTGTCAGTTGTATTCTGTTGCCTTTCCTATCCTCTAGTATCCCCCCTCCCCTCCCCTCCCCTCCCATCTTCTCTCTCTACCCCATCTATTGTAATTCATTTCTCCCCCTTGTTTTTTTTCCCTTTCCCCTCACTTCCTCTTATATGTAATTTTGTATAACAATGAGGGTCTCCTTCCATTTCCATGCAATTTCCCTTCTCTCTCCCTTTCCCTCCCACCTCTCGTCCCTGTTTAATGTTAATCTTCTTCTCATGCTCTTCCTTCCTGCTCTGTTCTTAGTTGTTCTCCTTATATCAAAGAAGACATTTGGCATTTGTTTTTTAGGGATTGGCTAGCTTCACTTAGCATAATCTGCTCTAATGCCATCCATTTCCCTGCAAATTCCATGATTTTGTCATTTTTTAGTGCTGAGTGTATAAATGCCACATTTTTTTAAAATCTATTCATCTATTGAAGGGCATCTAGGTTGGTTCCGCAGTCTAGCTATTGTGAATTGTGCTGCTATGAACATCAATGTAGCAGTATCCCTATAGTACGCTCTTTTAAAGTCTTTAGGGAATAGTCCGAGAAGAGGAATAGCTGGGTCAAATGGTGGTTCCATTGCAGCTTTCCCAGGAATCTCCATACTGCTTTCCAAATTGGCCGCACCAATTTGCAGTCCCACCAGCAATGTACAAGTGTACCCTTTTCCCCACATCCTCCCCAGCACTTGTTGTTGTTTTGACTTCATAATGGCTGCCAATCTTACTGGAGTGAGATGGTATCTTAGGGTGGTTTTGATTTGCATTTCTCTGACTGCTAGAGATGGTGAGCATTTTTTCATGTACTTATTGATTGATTGTATGTCCTCCTCTGAGAAGTGTCTGTTCAGGTCCTTGGCCCATTTGTTGATTGGGTTATTTGTTTTCTTATTGTTTAATTTTTTGAGTTCTTTGTATACTCTGGATATTAGGGCTCTATCTGAAGTGTGAGGAGTAAAAATTTGTTCCCAGTATGTAGGCTCCCTATTTACCTCTCTTATTGTTTCTCTTGCTGAGAAAAAACTTTTTAGTTTGAGTAAATCCCATTTGTTGATTCTTGTTATTAACTCTTGTGCTATGGGTGTCCTATTAAGGAATCAACCTAACAAAAGAGGTGAAAGACTTATACAATGAAAACTACAGAACCCTAAAGAGAGAAATAGAAGAAGATCTTAGAAGATGGAAAAATATACTCTGTTCATGGATAGGCAGAACTAACATCATCAAAATGGCGATGTTACCAAAAGTTCTCTATAGGTTTAATGCAATGCCAATCAAAATCCCAACGGCATTTCTTGTAGAAATAGATAAAGCAATCATGAAATTCATATGGAAAAATAAAAGACCCAGAATAGCAAAAACAATTCTAAACAGTAAGTGTGAATCAGGCGGTATCGCGATACCAGACTTCAAACTATACTACAGAGCAATAGTAACAAAAACAGCATGGTACTAGTACCAAAACAGGCGGGTGGACCAATGGTACAGAATAGAGGACACAGAGACCAATCCACAAAATTACAATTATCTTATATTTGATAAAGGTGCTAAAAGCATGCAATGGAGGAAGGATAGCATCTTCAACAAATGGTGCTGGGAAAATTGGAAATCCATATGCAACAAAATGAAACTGAATCCCTTTCTCTTGCCATGCACAAAAGTTAACTCAAAATGGATCAAGGAGCTTGATATCAAATCAGAGACTCTGCGTCTGATAGAAGAAAAAGTTGGTTCCAATCTACATATTGTGGGGTCAGGCTCCTGTAAGTTTCTAAAAAGTTTAATATATATGTATATACATACATTCACACAAATACATATATATGTATGTATAAGCATATATATATGAGTTAACAGTAGTTCAAATATAACAGCATAAGCAACTATATAAAAATTAATCCAAATAAACATATATATAGTATATACACATACTGAAGCATTCACTAAAATTTGTTTTTAAACAATACAATCAAGAAAGGTAGCTATTTGCAGATAAACAGATAAATGAATCTGGACATCCCTTTCTAAAGGATGAGGTGCAGATACAAAGAAGGAAATAGAAAAAGAAGATAAACATGATAACAGAGAAATAGTTACTCAGAAGTTTTTTTGCTAACTCCCTGCTTTGTTTTACCACAGCCTAAATGGCACTCCTAGTAGTTTAAAGAAAAAGTGGATCGGTTTTCAATTTATCTGGCTCTACAATAACCTAAAATATCTTTCAAAATGGATAGTTTCTAGACAAAAAAAAAAAAAAAAAAAAAAAAGCAGCTTAGCTGGGCATGGTGACACATGCCTATAATCCCAGTTCAGGAAGCTCAGTCAGGAAGATGTCAAGTTCAAGATCCCAGAAACTTAGTGAGGTCCTAAGCCAACTTAGCGAGGCCCTATCTCAAAATAAAAAATAAAAAGGGCTGGGGATGTAGCTCAGTTGTAGAGCAACCCTGGTACTGCAGCCTAACCCCAACCCCCACCAAAAAAAAAAAAAAAAGAAAACTTAGAAATTAATGCCAAAATTATTTGAAGAATTTAAAAATCCGGCTAATGTGTTGACTTTGCCCACAATTTTTCTGTTACCTCCTTTAACTCTCTAATGGTCAAGAAGAGACTCTTTATCCTTAGCTTCCTGAAGCTACACTGTTTTCTGTAATTCCAGAAGATATAAACTTACAAAGGTTTCACTGGAAGTTTCTTATGAGAAATTAAACATCTTCCCAGCAAGTTACTACTGCAAAAGGAAATGTCTACTGTTTACCAATCTCCTTCTGGACCCCTCTGTTCTTCTGGCCCTGTTTCTTCTTCTTCTTGTGCTAATTCTTGTTCCACAGCCAATAGTTCAGCTGAGGTTCTTGCAAGTAAGGCTGATACTGCATCCTGGAGAATGTAAAACATATGGCAATTAATATCATATACATCAAGAAATGATTTAAAAATTAATCAGATGCAGATTTATACTTCCAGCTGTGGAGAAGCAGCTTATATCAAACTCAACTCTCTCACTGAGAACAAAGATGAAAGCTGAATAAAATGAAGAAAGAAAAAAAAACCTCAAAACAAACCACCACAACAAAATAATAAAACTCCCAGATGTTTTAAAGCAATGAAGAGTACCAAAGGCTATCAGGATTAGAGGGCCAAGATCCCAGGGAAAAGAGAAATACAAGAAGGTGACGCAACCATCATTGCCACTCTCTCCCCTTGAGAGTGTTTGACAGTTCTAGGTGCAGACAGTAGGATAGGCAGACTTGACTGGCTGAGACTGTGGCTGTGGAGTTAGGAGGATGGGAGGATTACCACTGAGCGCAGGACTACCAAGACAGTCAGCACACAGGGGTCAGAGAAAATGAAATGTGTGGTGGGCTCAATATTATTATTCCTGTTACAGCATGTGCCATATGCGAGCTGCATATGTACAGAGCAAGACGCTGAGAAGCAAGGCAGAGAATCAGTGCTAGCAGGCTGAAACAGCAAGCGGATATTTCAGTTGTCTCATAGAGTCCTAGGGAGGAAAAACCTGGAATTCAAGTTCCCCAAATGATTCAGATATTCTCATATGGTAATTTGCCTTCCAGAAGCACACTAAATCCTCCCTAAAAGAATATGTCAGCCACAGACTCCACAAACCCTCACACACAGTGGCCAGAATTCCATCAAGACCTAATGACCAGCTAGGCATGGTGGCCCATGGGTTCAATCCCCAGAGCAACAACAACAATGACCACAAACAACCCCCTCCCATCAAAAAAAAAAAAATAAAAAAACCCACCAAAAAAAAAAAAAAAAAAAAAAAAAAACAAACAAAAAAAGCAGACCAATTCACACACTGCAGGTAATTAAAAAAGGAATTTACATTTTTACAAATCATTTCAAAAAAAAAAAACCGATAAAATAATAAAATAAATTTCAAAAAGAAAAACCACATTAGCATATCAAAGTGAAGATATTTAAAACCAAAAAAACCAGGATGCATTACTTTTTAGGAATCAAAAGTTGGACTATTCTCTAGCAACTCAATAGAATCAATGGAACAAGATGACAAAAAGTGATACCTGTAACATATTAAAAGAAACAACTAACCAACTAGAATTCTGAATATGTGACCAAAAACTGTCCTTCACAAATGCAGTTGAAATATACACCAAGAGACCTGTACTAAGAGACATACTAAATATCAAATGAATTCTTTAGTAGGAAAATGATCCAAATAGAACTAATATAAAAAGAAATTAAAATACACCAGAAATGGTAAAGATTTAAGGAAATCTAACTGAATATTTAGATTGACAATTAAAAAAACAATAATAATAATAATGTCTAGAGGGATATGCACTATAGGTAAATAAAACACATAAGAATAATCATACAGAAGGAAGAAAAGAGAAAATGGAATTAAATTCTTTTAAAACCATTGAAATGTCTGAGAAAAAGAAAAGGCATTAATTGAAGGTAGTTTCCAGTAAGTTAAGGATACATGTTGTACTCACCGGGGAAACAACAGGAAAATAAAAAACTATAGCATTCCTCCCCTTATCTGTGGTTTTGCATTTCATGATTTCAGTTACCCACGGCCAACTGCTGTCCAAAAATATTAAATGGAAAATCCAGAAATAAACAACTTATAAGGTTTACAATGCATGCTATTCTGAGTAGCATTATGAAATGTTTAGCTGTCTCCATCCTGTCTTGCCTGGGAAGGGAATCTTCTTGTCTAGTGTTTCAATGTTGTATTATGCTACCTTCTCAAAAGTTGCTTTGCCATCTCAGTTAGCAGATTGATGGTCATGGCACCACTGTGCCTGTATTCAAGAATACCCTTGTTTTATTTAATAATGGCTATGAAGTAGAAGAGTAATGATGCTGGCAATATGTATATGTCAAAGAGAATCTTTAAATACTTCTTTTAAGTGAAAAGGTAAAAGTTCTTGACTATTTAATAAGGGAAGAAAAGAAAAAGATATGCAGTTGCTTAGATGTATGAGAAGAATGAACATCCTGTGAAATTTTGAAGAAAAAAAGAAATCCAAGCTAACTGCAAAAATTATACAATACCTGATATGTGTTTAGTTAAGATGGAAAAGATAGTAAATCTGTGTATGGATAAGAAGAAATTTAGTATATGTAGGGGCTCTGTGTTAGTTAGCTTTTTGTTGCTGTGACCAAAATATTGAGCAAGAACAATTTAGAGGAGAAAAATTTTATTTTGGCAACTGGTTTCAGAGTTTAGAGCACAGTCAGCTGGTTCCATTGTTTTAGGCCCAAGCTGAGGTGGAACATCATGGCTAAGGATGCAGAGGAAAAAAGATACTCAGATTAAAAACTGGGAAGCAGAGGGGCAGGGTGGGAAAAAGTTGCAGGGAAGATGCATCCTTCCAGGGCATACCATCAATGACCTGTTTCCTTTAGCCATGCCCCACCTACCTACTACTCAGTTAGCCCACTCAAACTAGGATGGATTGATTAGGTTATAATTCTCATGATACAAACATTTTACCTCTCAATATTCCTGCATTAACAGAGGAGGTTTTGAGGGACACTTCATGTTCAAAACATAACAGGCTTAGTAATACTTGCAATTTCAGGCACTCACTGGGGAGTCTTAGAATGCATCCCCTGTGGGGTAGTGGGGCAAGGGAGGGGGTGCAAACGTTACTGATAATTTATAGAAGAAAAGGGAATTTTAAAAAATGTAATTAATCCAAAATGAGAAAAAAATGTAACAAAGATGGGACTAAAAGAAAATAAACAGTAAGATGATAGGTCCAAACCCAAGTATATCAATAGAATTAAATGTTAATGAACTAAGTATTTCAATTAAAAGATGAAGATTTTAAGATTATATAGTATCTTTTAAGATTATATTGTATACTATATATATATATATATATATATATATATATTATTTAAAAGTGGTACACTTTAAGAACTTGTGGAGTCAGAAAGTAAAAAGAATGCAAAAAAATCTAAACCATGAAGAAACTATTAATAGTAAAAAAAGGCTTATATAGCTTTACCAATACCAGACAAAATATATTTTAAAACGAGAGGCATTACTAGAGATAAAGAGAGGTACTTCATAACAATAAAGTTATGTTGAACAGAAAGATACAATGCTGAATTTATATTCACCTAAAACAGATTCAAAAAGCAAGTACTACCAGAACTAAAAAAAGAAACAAACTTATGTTGCAGTCATAATTAGTTATATTTTAAATTACCTTTCAATAATTGATAACACTAGCAAACTGAAAAAGTTGGAGATGCAGAAAATTTTAGAAACAAAATTGCAAACCTGACTAACAGAATATACATTCTTTTCAAAAGTTATGGAAGATTTACCAAAAACCTACCACATTCTAAGTCATAAAGCAAGTCTCAATACATGATTGGATAATATGTATTCTCTGAAAACAGTGAACTAAAACTAGAAATCTACAACAGAGAACTGTGTTTGATAATTAAGTAAACGTACTAAAAATATTATGGACTTAAAAAATCACAATGGAAATAATAAAATGTTTTTAATTCAAAGATTATTTCATGATGTTGCATCATATTTGTGAAAAGCAGCCAAAGGTGTACTCAAAGAGAATTATTTAGCCCTCAAAGCATATATTGGAAAAGAAGATTATAAAACAATTATGTAAGCATCCATTTCAAGATGTAGAAAAAGAATATCAAGTTAAACTCAAAGAAAGTAGAAGCAAAGAAATAATAAAGATAAGAGCAGAAATTAGCAAAATAGTAAACCAATGTGTGGGGAGCCACCCCTGAACTATCTGAGCATCTTCACAGGGCCTTGGAGCCAAGGAGATTTTGGTTTGGCATTGCAAGCTATTTTTGTGGCTCCTCCCACTCAACGAATTGCACAATACACATCACCTCTGTTTTCAGTTGGCTAGGAAAACTGATCTTGAAGCTTCAGAATTGGGCGTGACCCAGTGGGAACTGGACAGCCTACCTCCTACATTAATTGGTGAAGAACATTCTGTAGAAAGCCTTTGAAGTTCCCCCATACAAATAAAGAGGGCTCTCAAGCTCTCTTTCCAGGGTAGAAGCTGGACCCTTAAGATTGAAGAGCCATCCTGCCCCTGCTCTTTAAAACTATTTTCTGTGTCATGTGATTTTTCACCGTATTTCTCAGCCAGTCCACTCCACACAGGGGAATCCAGCTTCCACTGCCTGCGTGGGATATGGGAGAGACAAATGTATAATAGGAAAAAAAAAAAAAAAGAAGAAGAAAAAGAAGAAGAGTTCTCTAAAGAAAATGAATAATTTGACAGTATACATCCTTTTTATCAGCACATGAAACTATCTCAAAATACACAATACATTAGGCCACAAAGCAAGCCTTACTAAGTTAAAAAAAAAAAATTTCTTGCACCTTATCTGATCACAATGGAATGACACCATAAATGAACAGCAAAGAAACTAGAAATTATACAAACACATGGAAATTGAACAGTACACTCTTGAATGAACAGTGAGTCACTGAAGAAATCAGATGGGAAATTTAAAAATTTCTTGAATCATATGGAAACACAACAGAGCAAAGAACTCTGGAATACACCAAAAATAGTACAAAGTAGAAAGTTTTATAGCAATGAGTGCCTTCAATTAAAAAAATAGAGATCTCAAATAAATAATAAAGGTCTGAAGGGGAAGAAAAAGCCCCAAATTAGTAGAAGGAAAAAATACAAAATCAGAATAGAAAGAAATTAATAGAAATCAATGGAGCAAAGAGTTGGTTCTTTGAAAAAAAAAAAAACAAAATTGACAAGCCTGTAGCTAAATTAACCAAAAGAAAGAGAAGACCGAAATAAATAAAATTAGAACTAAAAGAGGAGTCATTACAACAGATAACTGCAAAAATCTAG